GTAACCTTGAATATCAATTTACATAATGTCCCTGATTTATGGTAGACTCCACATAGGATCAAATTGGTGACATACTCCCACCCTACCATAGGATTTCTATTTCAACCCACTAGGCAGAATACATTACATTTGAAAGCACATATTCCATTTGAATAACAAAATGTACATGTGTCTCATCATTATTATTTATATAAACGTTACATTAGAGCATCATCTTAGGTACCTTCTTTAAACCAGTAATAGTTGCCACTTTTCAAACAGTTCAAGACCTCTTACTTAAGCTGCCTGAACCTCAGGTTTATCATCTAGGTATAATCAAATGGCATGACAATTTGAATAACAAAGTGTCCTGCCCAAGTTATTTTTTAAACAAATAAAGAGACATCAAAAGTACCTAACTTACCTCTGCCTCAACAAAATTTTAAACATGATTGGGTCTTTGATCATTTTCAATGGGATTATTATATTTTTCTTAATTTTTCTCATTGGGTATGCTTAAGGAAGGAGTAAGAAAGAGAAGAAGGAAAAGTGTAGGGAGATAAATGGGTGCCTGAGCTGGAATTCCTCACCTAGAGGTGATGTGTTCCAATAGAAATAGAAACATTCCTTTCCGTAGAGATCATGAGTCCATAAAAACACAAGACTTTCCACTGTACCAGTGCAATGACTCCATTTCAAAGGGGAATTTGTCCTTTTCCATAAGTGATTAAAGAGCATCATTATCAGTAGCACCATCATTCCCTATTACCACTGATCTTAGTGATGATATCTAACATTAATTGGACTTGTACCTAGAGAGTACTTAAAATATTTCAGGTACCAGGCCAAGAAATTTATTGGCATAATCTCATTTAATCCTCTTAGCTCACCTTAAGTTATTTAAACTCTGTAGATGAAAACATTAATGGGTTAAGTAATTTTTCCCAGGGCTTCACAGTTAAGTAGCATATCTGAGATTGAAGCCCAGATCTGTCTGAATACACTATGTTCATAATGTTTGCATTGTGATAGTTCAGATATAAGTTCTCTCCAACCCTATGGCATTTATGTTATGATCAGGAAAATTGGTTTGGTAAAGAGTTCAGATATTTTGAAGTTCAGTTGTCATTAGGAGGCAGAGTAGTGGTGACACAATTCACAATAATAGATGATGATGATGATTTTTATTATTATTATTTTGGTACTAGGATTGAACCTAGGGTACTTAGCTACTGAGCCACATCCCCAGTCTTTTTCTTTTTATTTTGAGACAGGGTCATACTCAATTGCTTAGGACTTCGCTAAATAGCTGAGGCTGGCTTTGAACTTGTAATCCTCCTGTCTTAGACTCCAGAACCTCTGGGATAACAGGTGTGTGCTACTGTGCTTGGCAAGAATAGATTATCTTTACTTTAGAATAAGCAGATAAAAACCAATTAACCAGACATAAAACATTATGTAAATGATGTTTTTTAGTTACTAGCTCTGATCCTTTAAGTAAACAAAAATGTTCATAGGATATTACAGAAGAATATACGTAACATAGGTTCATTTTAATGTTTTCACATTGAATAATTTCAAAAAAATATTTTTCAAGAGCAAACCAGACACAAGTTCTTCGCCCCATTCTTACTATAAACCAAAACACTGAACATCTCTGTTAAGCTTGGATCACAGACTCTCAATATACTTTATTATTCTGCACACATCTTATAAGACTAATTATACTTGCCATAGCAAGAAATATTAAAGAGTTCTGTATCTGTAAAGATTTGGTGGGGTGTACTGGGGATTGAACCCTGGGGGGCTTAACTCTCAGCCACATCTCCAGCCCTTTTTATTTTGAGGCAGGCTCTCACTAAATAGCTTAGGACTTTGCTAAGTTACTGAGGTTGACTTTGAATTTGTGATCCTCCTGCCTCAGCCTCCTGAGTTCCTGGATTACAGGTTTGTGCCACTGTGCACAGATTGTGAAGAATTTTATTTGTTTGACTCTTTTTAAGTTTAATTAAATTTTATTTGTTTAACTAAGAAGAGAAGATGAAGAAAACAAGCCTCTTGAAGTACTTCTGTGGCATATTTATTATATTTAGCTTTGTAATTTAAACGTTAAGTGAGAATTTAAAAGCATGGAAGGAAAGCCCTTTAAATCATGTTTGGTTAACATGTCTTACAGAATACAAGTTCTGATAGAATTGTGGATTAAACATACTTCAAAATCCACATTTGGAAATTTCCAGAAACAACCTTAATTATTTTCCTTTTGAAAATAATTACTGATACAGTTTTTGGAATTCTGTAGTATAGATTGTTTCCTAATAAAGAATTTCAGACTACTCCAACCACCAAGAGTTGACAGGTCCTGGGGAAGAATGCGGAGCTTACAGAAGTGCCAACTAGATGTTATTATAATACACATTCCTAGGCTCCAGTAACACTTGCAAACAGGCAAGAGTGGACTATTCGCACATCATGTTCTGACATCGATGCTTAGCTGCCAAGGATGATCACATGCAAACAGGTTCCTTTGCAGAAAAAAAAAATGCTTGGAAGCATAGAGGATTCATTGAAGAAGAGCAGATGCCCAATGGCAGTGCCAATATTCATCAAGCATAGAAAAAAATATGTAAACAGACATTGTTGCATTAAAAAAGCATGACTATATTTTTCTGCTCTTAATATTCATTATTAAAATATGTAGATTACTCAGGATAAGGGAAATCTGCAAATCCTATCATATTCTTCTGTGAGAGCTCATCTTGAGTTTCATGATCCAGGATAATTCTTTAGGTTAAAAGTCCGTACCCGTGTTCTTTGGGTAACAGAACTTCTTGGAGAAGACTTATTTTAAATTCATGACATGAAAGATTGGATCCACTGGAAGAAAAGCTTTATGAGGTCAGAAAGCTGTTTTTTTTTCTTTTTAACTGTTTAAGGTAAATGGTATAGTCCCAGCCCCTAAGGTACTTGGTACAGAATAAATAATTTTGGAGGAATGAATGAAATGATATCACTGTTTTAATAATGAGATGCAGAATATAATAATAGGAAGAACTTTTTAAGTCATAGTTTGATCTTGAAGCCATGGGCACTGAAATATGTCCTTGATTTTCTTCACAAAATTTTGCACAATGCAGGTCTTATCTGAACAGCAGTTATTTGACTCAGAATTTTAATCTCTATTACATGATGGTCAATGAAATAGGATACAAAATGTGAAAGGCCTACATAATTTACTGCAGGAAAGAAATGAAAACCTGTCTTCTAACACAGGCCATCATTTAATCACATAAGATCATTCAAACCGGCAACATCTCACCTTGCAACTCACATGCCCACATACTCTCGCTTGCAGTGCCCAGGGCAGCCTGGAACAAGGAGTGAAGCTCTAGATTACTGCTCTCCCCCCACTGGTTCCCTATTGCTTTTAAAGGAATTCTGTAGAATCTGACAAGAATGCAAGAAATATTTGAGGTTTCTCAGAATTTAGGGCAGAGAGGATGATTTCTCAGAGCCAATCATCAACTTAGATGTCATTTCCTCCAGGAACTTTCTGGATTCTTTCCAAGCTGGCCACAGCATCTTGCTGACTGTTTCCATAATGCTTCCAGTTTCTCTAAAAGCATGTATATTAGTCAGGGTTTTCTGAAGACACAGAACTGGCAGGGTATGTACACAGATGTATGAGAGGGGATTTACTAGGGGAATTGACTCATGCAATTATTGTGTCTGAAGAGTTCACAGCAAGCCACATGCAGGCTGGAGATCCTGCATTGCCGGTAGCATGGCTCAACCCAAGACAAAGGCCTTAGAACCAGAGAAACCAGTGGTGTGTCTCCCATTCTAAGGCTGAGGGCTGGAGGCCACTGGTTTTATGTTCTGGAGTTCAAAGATTAGGTAGCCTGGAGTTCTGACATCCAAGGCAGCAGGAAAAGAAAACAAAAAGTCTATATCCCCTCTCAGAGCAGAGACCAGCTAACCTTCTGTATTTGCTCTCTCTGGGCCCCTGGCCAAGTAGATGGTATGATTCCCAACCACTCGTCTACTCCCAACTAGTCACTCAGACTCCCACGCTAATTTCCTCTGGAAACAGAAAATAATACTTTGCCAAGTTTCTAGGTATTCCTTAATTCAGTCAAGTTGACACTAAAAATAAACCACTCTAGCACTAAGTTTATATTGAGATTATCAGAGCAAACCGAACACCATCGCTCAGTTCAAAGCTTCTCAAAAATCCTTTCCTATTCCTCTTTAGCATTCCTCACAGTGGGTGGCACACCTGTAATACAGTGGTGCCCAATCAATGTTCACTCAATTCCCTGCTCCTTCTCCATAGTCTTCTGAATGTCTGGATGGAGAAAAATTCAGTGTTTTTGCTAGAAATATCCCTAATACAGTAGCAGGTACTCCTTAAAAATGATTATTCAAAATTCTGTTTCACAGAGGACACAATTACTGCATTAAAGGAAACTTCTCTGCAATCTTCCTTCAAAGCTCCTGAGTTGGTGAGGTTACTGAAACCTAAACAGACCTAGCTTAAGGCAAATGAGGAATTTATTACAAAGATACTAACATGCCTCATGGAGCTCACATGAGCTAAAATTCCACAGTATGTACAACCAGCATCTAACTCTGTCAGGAAAATTATATCTCAGCTCTGTTCTTTATTGATTTAGTCTTCTCTTTGCTGACCAGTGTCCTTTGTTTTTCTTGTTCAGATGAAGCAAAACATAACTGTCAAAGCTTCAGAATGCACATTGTTTTTACTCCAAGGACCCAAAACAGACTGATATTGAGTTCCTAACTCCCATGGGAATGACTAATTGTTCTGATTTGAATGAGTACCCACCTGAGACTGACCAAATACAGCTGGAGGTGGAGTTCAAAGATGGGGTCTGGGTATTGGGCAGACAGTCCCATGGGTGCCCAACACACTTCAAATAATGCTCACTTCTAAAGAAAACCCATTGTCTAACTTCACTATATAAATGCATTAATGAATAATTCTCTAAAGTATAAAGTTTTTAAAACAGTAATGTTCAAGTTTATTTCTATTAATATTCCATGCTATCAATAGAAATTTTCCAAGTAGAAATGTTTGCTTTGTTTTAAAAATAAATGTATTTCATTACATGATATTATTGACAGTTTACATAAACAAAGTCATTTAATATATGCAAAAATAATTATAAAACACATTTTTAAAAGACAGGAAAGTACTTGAAATTCATCTTGACATCAGAATTCCAAAACACACCTTTAAAATTTTTAGTATCAAAGTGGAATTCCCAAGCCTGAGTTGGCTTGAGAGATTTATTGGTCAGACAACCTTGGTTCAGTAAAGAAGATACATTTATAGAATTGTCTTGTGTTTTAATTCAATAAGGGACATTTTTCCCAAACTCTTTTAGTATCAAAGAAGACTGGGGAAGAAAGAGGGTATGAATGACCCCTTTGGAGACTTTTGAAAATGTAGCACATATAACATGAGCAAATTGAATGTAAGCATGTGTCAAGGACAAAAATTAAGTCAGAAGAAAAAAATCAATTGTGAACATTGTCAGTTGTTTGAATTGGCTCTTATCCATAGGTGAACTATTTCTGTGTAATACATAGTCTCTGCCTTCCCTCACTCAAAACACTAGAAAAAGATATACAATTTCAGCTTTTGTCTGAATTCTCTGCTTTACCTTGGCTTTCGGATTTACATTGTAAAGTAAAATTTAAAAAGATTCAGGAAAAGAAGCTACTTGGCTGACAGTCACAAAATGCAGAAATTTGGAGACATTTTTCATTGGTTTTTGTAAGTGATTCTCCTAATTAATGTAGGAAGTTCCATGTTCTACGGAATATTGACTCAATGTTGATTTCTACTATTTGGAATTTAATGCAGTCTTTAGTAAAGCTATCATGGAGTTGAAGGAGCATTTGCAAGATGGTAATAGATGCTACATTCATGCACCAAAATTCACCTGAGAGCATTCACAGATGCTGTTGCTTAGAAGGACACAGAATGAGGGGTGTGTTCATCACTAATGTCTTCCAGGGGTCTGCAGTGCTGTCACTGATATTGACAGCCTCTTCTGGTGCTTTATATTTTATTGAGCATAAATACTTTTTTCAGGGCTTAAAGAATGTCAGGAATTTACTCTTCCACCTCTATTCATTATTCTAACTATGGGGTAAATCTGTTTGTTTTAATAATGTAAGAATTTATTCATGTCATTGACACTTTATAAAGGAGCAAAGAAACATAGTAAAATTCAACTCCACAGAAAGCATGATGATAACAGCAACATTAGCTGGGAATCAGCCTTCTGTGTTCCTGCAGGAAAATGGCCTTGACATCTCAGAATCATAGCAAAATGCAGTGCAATATGAAATCTTATATCATTGAATGAGGTCACCGATGCAAAGTGACAAAAATGATCATTAAGAGCACCAACTTCAAATCTGGGTAAAGCTTGGTTCAAATCCAAGCTCCACCAATTCCTAACTCTAAATTTAGGTTAAATTTTTTAACTTCTTTTGGCTTCTTTCCACATCTGGGAAATAAGGATCTTATGTGTCTCACAGATTATTGAAAGGATTAAATAAAATAACATTTCAAATTCTTAGCACACAATAAGTATATGAAAATAGTAGCTTTATTAATTCAGTCCCTAAGATCTAAACTTCTTCCCACTTTTTTACGTAACTAATAATCCAGGTGACAAACTTATGTGAAAATTTATTCAAATTCCTTTCTTATTGTTGTTATCTACTCAGGTGTTTTTCTCCCCAATTATAGACTATAATAAAATTATTATTATTAAAAACAATAATAAACAACACAAACTGAAGATACAAATAAAAAGTAAATACAATATTTAAAATTCATTTCAACTAGCTGTTTTCCTGAGACATGTTCTGTCCATTTTCAAAGGAGCAAGGCTTTTTATAACTTGCCACCAGCCATCAGCCTGTGAAAATAAAGAAAATAAGAGCAGCCATTTAAAAAAAAAAATACACTATGTAATAATGACAATAATTACAAATATAAAGGTAGTATTTGTGGATTCAATTCACTAGGGTGGTCTTTGTATTAGATTAGTAGAACATTATAATTTCTCAACAGGCATTTATTGCATCCCATTGAGCATCTGGGATAGTCAGAGAAAGGAGATTCTTTGTACAGTTGAGAGGGCCATGGAAAGACTCCGCTCTCCTGCTGAAGGTGACTGAGAAAACCTGTGGCCCGATTGCTGCTGGTCTTTCCTGTGATCCAGAAGAACTGGCCAAGGATGAAGCCAACTCTTTGAACAGTGAGTGAAAGGGGAAAAATAATCTGTTTTCTTAGCGTGAGTCTCCAGTTTGACCAAGTGCAAAGCCTACCTTCCTCTGGGCTTCCATTCAAGTGAGTCAACACATGGCCTCAGTTTTAAGCCAGTCTGAGCCAGGTTTGATGTTATCCCACTAAAACTGTCTTGCTGAATTCTGCCAGTCCTGCTCCGTGTGCCCCCTGGCAGCTTTCTCTGTCTTGCTGCATATCCAGGGGGCTGGTCAGTACAGATTGCTCTCTGGATTCTGGTTGGACTCAGCTAATAGAAAGCGCCAGTGACAGATCTGAAGGCAGGAAGAAGTCTTGGATATTTAATTTGATGTTTCCTCTTCCATTGTTAAGGTCCCAGCAGTGGCTGTTCCTGCTGCATGGGTACTCCTCCAGCAAGCCTCTGGCTCTAGAGTAATTCTTACCCCAGCCTTACCAAGAAGGAGAAAAGCTCCCTGCCACCGCCAGACTCAGGCAGCCTCCACACCCCTTGGCGATCGATTTCAACCTGCCCTCACAGCCCCCTCCACAAAATTTCCTGGGATTATTCAAGTGGATTTGTGATTCCTACTGAAACCTGACTGATACATATAAAGGGCACTGGCATATGGTAAATGTTTAGTAAATATAAGTTAAAGATACCTCTTCCTTATGCCCCCCCAATGAGGAAGAAAACGTATAATCACTAAGACCAAGCAGAATTAGAATGCCTGTCTCTTTGAGTGGTAACATTCAGAAGAAAACTATGACAGAGTATTTTATTTGCCTTCAGGTTTTAAGGGGAAAAAAGAATCCAAATACTTTTAGGTGTTTTTAAAAATAATCAAATTCCAACCATTGATTATTTGACATCTCACCACTTATACATCACTGGAATAGTTTCCCATCTACTTACTCTTAAGCAATATTAGTCTCTTGAATATCTTCATTTATAGGAGTTATATCTTTATCCAGAGCTTCCATTTCTTCTTCCTTCTTCTTTCTTTTTCGGTGTTTCCGAAGAGGACTTAGAAAATAATATGTTAGAAATTAATATGGGCCTGTTAGTTCATGTGAACACAAAATGATTCAACAAAAGTGTATGGTTTTTTTTCTAGACTGTTAAAGGTGGGTAAGGTGCTTTTTTTCTTAAATATATTGGATTTTCTTTTAAACTACAATAGGCAACAGGATGGTTTGAGTATAGTTGTCTAAACAGGAAGAATATGGCTCATTAGTGTTGGTGGAGAATAGTTGGCACAAGAAAACTTTTCAGGGAGCATTATTTAGTGTATAGAGAAGAAACGGTAGAAACTTGGAACAGATATAAGAAAACAAGAGAGTGAACATAGCCTCTGAATTATTATTTAAACTTCTAGACAGTCCACCTTCCTGAAAGTACATTTCAAAATTCATGTTACAAAATAGGCTATTTCCAAGGTCTGCATAATTCTTTCTCTGCCCCAAACTTGGCATTATGAATATTTCTTCCTATCATAAAGTATATAAGCTCAAAAGTAGTTTTTCAATTTTATAATAGAAGGAATTCTACATATCAACTGATTTAATATTTTTGTTTCACAGAAAACTAAAGTTCAAAGGTATTAAGAAATTTGCCTGAAGTCTCAAAGATACACAATGACAGAACCAGGACAAAAAGTCAGACTCTGCTGCTGTTTTTCTCCCATGAACATTGTGAGGAAAGGAATCATGAGACATGCACTTTGAGAGGGGAACACAACACAGAAGTAGATGCAACCATTTAGGGAAGCTGGCTAGCTCCTCAAGACAAGAAGACAACACTTACACAGAACACCTTTTCACCATTCTATGTGGTGGTGCTGCTGTGGCTAAAAAAATACAATAAAATAAAATAATTCAGTGCTAAGTACAGTGGCACACACACCTGTAATTCCAATGACTCTGAACACTGAGGCAGGAGGATTGCAAATTCAAGGCCAACCTTGGCCATTTAGGGAGATCTTGTCTCAAAACAAAAATTAAAAAGGGCTGGGAATGTAGCTCACTGGTGGAGCACCCTTGGGTTCAGTCAATGCCCAGTATGAAACAAACAAACAAAAATCCTTACAGCAAGCCACTGTGCATCAAAGAAAAAGCATGCTGGTTCTTGACTCTCAAATTTGGGATTTAAAATGAAAAGTAAGGGAAAGAATGTAATCATTATTTAAAATAAATAATTACACATAAAATAAATAATTACACATATCTTAATGTGGCCAACCTAAAAATTTTAAAATAAAATTTGTTTCAAATTATAATACTTGTTTCCAATAAAATGATAAAAAATGTGTATCAGGGCTTCAATGTAAATAAATACTTCAATATTAATGATGGCAAGCATCAAAAATAGATTTATTTCAATTGAAGCAAAAGGGAAAGAGAAGGTAATAAAGAAGGAAGAAAAGAAGAAAAGTAAACAAAGAGCAAGATAATTAAAATTAAACTTAAAAAATACTTACTGACAGCATGTGCAGACACCAATGACTAAAATGATAAAAATGACCATAACTGCTATCAAACAAATCACCAAAATCTGTCCTCTATCTCCTCTTAGGTAAAACAAGTCAACTCTCTCACACCTTGCCCCAGTGTAGCCTTCATTGCAGCTGTCAAGATAAAACAAGAGGGTGACAAGGTAAAAATGCAAGACTTAGGAGTCTCCCCTTCTTCTTTGAAGAAACTAATATTGTTTTCATTACTTGAAATTCATAAGAACACAGTTCTTTAAAAAAATAAGAATAAAAAGTTGTCCTCCACTGTGTTCATGAGTAATTCTAACTTCTTCCCTTTACTGAAACCCTGTCACTTGAACATGATTAACATGTCTCATATACATAAGCAAAGATACTTGTGATTAGGACTTGTTTTTGAAGTTTTAATCTCTGCGTTTGGAGAAGTAGGAGATGATAAAATTCCCTCCATAGTATTCACTGTGCTTAAAAACCTCATAACAAGGAATTTTTAAAAATCCCCAGGATTTCCCATTTCATCCAAGGGCAATATTCATAATAGTTTCAGTGTGCCAAAGCACTCTTTAAAACAATTTTAAAATTACATTGTTTCATACAATCAAAGTGTGAAAGCTCCGAACCCAGGGTCCAAAAAAAGAAAGTTCCATACATACTACTTCTACAGAATCTCTCCTTCTCTCCGCCCCCTGTCCTCTCCTCCTCTTCCTCCCCCTCCCCCTCCCCCTCCCCCTCCCCCTCCTCCTCCTCTTCTGTCTCTTCCTCCTCTTCTTCTTCTTCTTGTCTTTCTCTCTCTCTCTCTCTCTCTCCCTCTCTCCCTCCCTCCCTCCCTCCTTCCATCCCTCCGTCTCTTTCTCTCTCTCCCCTATACTTCAATTCTAGTGTTACTACTTGGGAGGTGTAGATCAGGGAATATTCTTCTATTACTCCTTATTTATTTATTTATTTTTTGAGGTGGGGACCAGGGATTGAGTTCAGGGGCACTTAATCATTAAACCACATCCCCAGCCCTATTTTTTTTGTTGTTTGTTTTTCATTTAGAGACAGAGTCTCACTGAGTTGCTTAGGGCCTTGCTAAATTGCTGAGACTGGCTTTGAACTCACAATCCTCCTGTCTCAGCCTCCCAAGCTACTGGGATTACAGGCATGTGCCACTGCACCCAGCTTCTTCTTTACTCTTGCATTCACCATCTCCCCAACTACTTCTCCCCTCCCAAAAAACACAACATGGCCTGTCCTGTCCTGTTCCTTCATCTGGTTTTCTGTGGCCATGGTTCCAGATCTGTTCACCATTCCTTCCCCTCCCAGAGTGGCCTCCTTTTATTCCATGGCCTTCTTAAAGTGGAATAACCAAAGTCAACTAGCTCTCTAAGTGGGGCTAGCCCCCTTCAATCTTGCAAGTCTCTATCAATATAATCTTCATATGGTGTCAACTCAGCAAATGCACTAAGTCTGAGGTGACAGTTATGAATCTTTTACCCAGCTGGGACTCGACTAAGCAACATTAGATGAGAAACAGCTCAGTGATTTGTGGGTTACCCATAGAATTCTCTGACTTGTGACAGAGACTTAAAAATTACATAGAAATTTGTCTAAGGACATTTGAACCAAACTTATCTGTTGTAATATCAGTACCTTTCCATTAATAAATATTTCACCTTTATTCTCAGGTGCATTGGAACACAATATGAAGAATTACTTAAGTGTCAAAAAGATTAACTTCTGCACCTTGAAAAGATTTCTGTGCAACTTAAATTTTCCTTAAGAAAGGATTTATTGCCAAGGTATTCTAGAGCCTATGCTTGACAAGAGCTGAGGCAGTTAATTCCTGCAAAGCCTGTATTTCTCAAGTAAAGAGATCCCTTAATGCCAATCTTGTAACTGATACAGTGTTTCCAAATAAAACAAAAACACAAGCTCAGAAACAACCATTGATTGAAAGTTAAACTATGATGCAAGCAAAGGAGAAATATGTAATGTCACCTATGGCTGAAGGACGTAAAATTAGTGGGGGAGAATGGCCTCCTGCAGGATAGGTAGGTGACTTTACTCCAAGGTCCAAATACAAGGACAGCACTTAGAAATATCTTGAAATATCAAAAATATGTAGCACATAGGATTGAAAAGGTGTGGAAATTTCACTTTCATTTGCATGTAAGAGGAAGTTTTTAGTTTGAAGAATGTAATTAAATTTTGCAAATATGTATAGTCTCTTCCCAGTTAAATATTTCTTTAATAAATTTACTAAATATGGCATGTTTGTTTGTTTGTTTGTTTGTTGGTACCAGGGATTGAACTCAGAGGCACTTGAACACTAAGCCACATCCCCAGCCCTATTTTGTATTGTATTTAGAGACAGGGTCTCACTGAGTTGCTTAGTGCCTCGCCATTGCTGAGGCTGGCTTTTAAACTCACGATCCTCCTGCCTCAGCCTCCCAAGCCACGGGGATTACAGGCGTGTGCCCTCATCCTCGGTAAATATGGCATTTTAAAACAATAATCTTGCCTATAAAAGGCCCAACAATGACTTCCTTATCTATTACAATGTTTTTCTAATTATGAGCTCTGGGTTCAGTGGCTGAACAAGCTTGAACTGAATTTCTCAGTAAGTAGTGCTTCAGTATGTTGTAAGCCAATGAAGCCATGCTGGAAGGTCAAACCTTAACATACTTATAATTGCTCTCGTATCATATCAGTCTTCAGCTGACCAGTGACCTATTAGCTGATGGTCATTTTTAGCAAGAGTATTTCCCATATGGGAGGGGAAGAAGCCAAGGGAGCAAGATCTTAATGTTTACTAAGTCATGAATAAATGTTTATCAAATAAACACCTTATAAAATAAAATTGGAAAACTGAGAATAATTTTTAAAGATTCCACAACTCTCCAGAGGGACTGTAAAACCAGGCTTAGGGGGTCACTGTTCTGAAATAATCACCAGACACTGTTCCAAGAGATTGACAAAGTACGTACTAAGTCCATCATTATAACAAGCTCTGAAGTAGGGGTCATTATCAACCCCCTTCTGCAGGTGAAGAAACAGAGGTGCAGAATCACTGAGTGAGTGGGACTGTGATTCCAACACAGGCAGTTGGGCTGCCAAGCTTATGGCCTCAGCAGCATGTAAATTAACTGTGCCGCATTCATAAATGAAAATTATATATCTGGAAACAAATTATCCACATTCCAGGAAAATATGGAGAAACTAATAGGGCATTTGAATTATTTGAAACACAACTTGGTTTTTTTTTGTGCATGTAAAAACTAGAGTCCATGATCTATGTCTATGATCACAAGTGAAAGGAGATATTTCTGGTTTCCCAAGATGATGCTGTCACCAATGCTAAGACCGTTTTTGTCTGAATTCATGCTATACCAAACCATGAAAGGTCAGTCCTAGGTTGGATATCTGTCCACTCATCTCAATGATTACGGAACGTTGACTCCGCAATGTAGGAAACCACATAAGTGATTTTATGTATATTACTTGGCTTAATCTTCAACCCTTGAGAGGAAGGTATTTTTATCCCTTTTAATAAAAACTGAGGGGCTGGGGGGTGACTCAGTGGTACAGCACTTGCCTAGCATGTGTGAGGCACTGGGTTCGATCCTTAGTACCACATAAAAATAAATAAATAAAGGTATTCTCTCTCTCTCTCTCTCTATTCTCTCTCTCTCTCTCTCTATATATATATATATATATATATGTGTGTGTGTGTGTGTGTGTGTGTGTGTGTGTGTGTGTAAACGTATATATGTATATATGTGTGTATATATACATATTTATATTTATCTATTTATTTATATAAAATAAAAACCAAGGTTTAGGAAAGGTAATTGACCCACTGTTTACATTGCTAATAATGGTTAAAAAACAAAATCTCACCTTAGGTCTATCTGACTCTAAAATCTGTCCCCTAACCTGGTGCTCTTCTGCCTCCCATTGGTTCTGTATCATTCTACTCTAAGAAGAGCTTCTGGTTCTGATTGAGGCCTTGGTTTTGAAATTTAGCATAGCATTAGATGGGCTCAGGTAGAGACACGTATTCATTCCTTCATCAGTCATTTTTTGCACACCTATTAAATTTTAGGCTCCATGCTTACCACTGGAACACGAAAGTGAGTAAGCCACAAGCCCCGTTCTCTAGGAATTCATAGCCACAGAGAGGTCATTCAAAGTCACTGACAGCTATGCTCTAGTGGATAAGTGCCTCCATTGAAGTGTGACTAAATGGCAGAGGAAGGGCATCTACTTGACACCTGGCTATGTGCCTGGGAAGGAGGAAGTCAGTGAGGAGGTCCAGGAGGAGCTGGCATTTGAGTTGTATCTTAAACCATCATCAGGAATAAGCTCTCAAGCCTATGGGAAGAACTTGTATAATAAACCATGACTAGGGAGGTAGGACTTTAGGGGAACATTTGGGAATATGGTGAGAAGTATAGCCAGAAGTTAAGTCAGAATCAGAGGAGCCATAGAGGTCAAGGAAATATGTTTTAGCCTCAAAGTGAGTGGGACGAGCTGTGTGTTGATCCTAGGAAAGTAAATGACATATGGGGATTTTCATTTTAGAAAACAGCAATATTAAAAAAACAATAAATCTGCAGACATAGGGATAAGTTAGAAAAATGTTCTGGGTTAAAGGACATTGATATTTTAAAAACCCAATGTATGCCTCCAAGCCAGTAAATAATGAAATGAAATTTCAAAGAGTCAGCTCTGCCCTTCTTAGCACACCTCCAACACACTTTCCTTAATATTTTGCATTAGCAATTTTTATCCTTGCTAAGGATTATTCATGCATATTTCTTTTTAAAATTGAACATAATTATAATTAATTTTTTGATTAGAATGTTTCTTTTTCATTATTTTTAATTTTTATGTGTTTTAATTTGTTATACATGACAATAGGACACATTTATGGACTCTGATATATCATACATAGATGGGGGAATCATTTCTCATTTTTCTGATGCTATATCCATGACCTTTAAACTCGCCTACAAAATCAGAATCACTATTCTGAGATTCTTATGGAAAAAACAAAAACTCTGTACTGGGAAAACTGTGAAAAATAACAAACACTCTGTGAACTTCAGGTCCAAATTAGAAAGAATCACTATAAAGAAAATATCCCAGACAGCACTTCAGAGGGATACCTCATTAGAAGAAAATGAATATTTAAAAGATGCAAAAACTTTTGCATGTGCTTAGACTCTTAAATTTCCTAAAAGTTGGAAAGAGAGCTCCTCTCCCAGTCCCCAACTGTACTTAACCCTGCTTTGCTGATATCTATTTATAAATAAGACTGACTTCTTCACACTTAACTGACACCTTGCAAACGGAGCTTTTAATTTGGCAGGAATTCCTTCATATTTACATTAACTACAAACCACCTAACACATGCCAGAAGGATCTGTTTCCATCTGAACCACCCAGGAGATTATTTGAGCTGAAAAGCATCCTAACACTGGACAGAATCAGTTTTGCTTGCGCAAGGGAGCAGAGGACACTGCCCAGCCTGGAAGCAGATCTGCGCTCTCACACGCTCATATTTCAGGAGGAAAGTCTGTGTCAGTCTCTCCATAAGTGGCTGCCTAGAGGGCCCTAAACAAGTGGCTGAGGGCAGGACCAGGCGGAACCGTGTCTGCACAGATGGCATGGTTAGCTCAGACTTTCCAGCCCTGTCAAGCCCCAGGCTGTGCAGCCCTTTCTGTACCCCAGGTGCAGCTTGTTCTGCACCCCTTTGCTTGCTGGCTACAGAGCTTCACTTACACACAGGAGGGTGTCTGCTCAGCCACCACGAAGCGGCATCTCCCTTTGATGCAGTAATGCTTGTATTGCTTGGGGCACCGAGAGAAGTGGCCTTTCCGCCTTGATTGTGTGGTGGTAGCTGGAAAACAAGAAAAAGTTCATTTGTAAATTGAATTTTATTCTCATCTCATTGCTGATGTTTCTGGAGAATATGTTCCAAACTCTCATTTGCCCTGTCCACACTGGGATAAAAACTTTTGCAGCCCTCAAACAGCACTAGAGATTGGGTAATAGGGATTGTGGTTGGAATTTTCATATTGTAGTTAAGACTTGTGTCCAACCTGTCTATCAGAAACGTTGGTATCTTCAGTGGGTAAAAGAGAGATACGATAATAAAGAAGGCTTTCTTGTCATGAATGTTTTGAGAACCGCACTATAGAAAGGAGTTGGTTGCTTGGTTTCTGTTTTTGTTGCTGCTGAGCTGGGTTGTTTTTTTTTTTTTTTTTTTTAAACTGAAACACATAGTGTTTACTGACTCTGATATATTTATTTTTCATATATCATCTATTGAACAATCACGACAGCCTTATAAGGTGAGAACCATGCAAATCCTAACTTATAGGTGATCAAAGCACAATACAGATTAAGATTAAGTCACTGTCCGAGATCACGGTTAAGAGTGATAGAAATGGGACACAGCCCAGGCTGTCTTGCCCCAGAGCTCATGCTCTTGACCACTACCCTCCTGCACTGTCAAGCCAGCTTGCTCAGCAGGTGTCCTCCACTCTCAGCCTGGGGCATCCAGAGGTCATGCTTGCCTCAGTGGGAGTGTGTGCCACTCATTGGGCCCATGGAGGCTTTCTCTGAAGGAGGAAGAAAATACTGGATGCTTCCTGTCCTGGATTTCAATCCTGCACTGACCTGCCTGATTTTTCAACTAAAAATACTAATATGTAACAATCCCCCTATCCCTCACATGTAAAGTTTCAGTACATATTGACTGTCCAGAAAAACAGTATAGAAATAACTCACTAGCTGTTTCATCTGTTGGTTCCCAATTAACATCTGCTTACACCAAGAGAAAATAATACACAAGCCAGATCCAACACAGGATCAAACTGTCCAAGTTCACAGGATGACCAACAGCTTGAAGGAGTCAGACATCTGAAGACCATTCAGGGTTCACTTCAGAAGGACATTTCACACTAGGTTTGATAAGGCACCTGGCATCCCAGTGACATTTAATCATTCTTTTATTTAGTGGCAATGACTACCAGACTTCTTAATATATGAAATCAATACATGTAATTACACAGGACCACGAGAAATAAGAATTTCAAATGACTTTGAATCACCTATATGCTGCAAATTTTTGTGATGTTCAAACACAGTACAGTCATCCCTTAGTATCTATCAGGTATTGGTTCCAGGACCCCGGGCAGATACCAAAATCTAAGGATGTTTAAACCCATTATATAAAATGGTGTAGTATATGTACACATATGCTCTATCCCCTCATATATTTAAAAATATCTCCAGATTAATATCTAATATCTAATCTAATATAAATGTAATATCTAGTATAAATGCATTGTAAATAGTTGTTATAGTGTGTTAGAAAATAATGACAAGAAAAAAAGTCTTGTCAAGACAGAAACAATTTATGCAGGGTATTTTTAATCCACGGTTGACTGAATCTGTGGATGAGGAACCCACAGATACAGAAGGCTGCCTGCTCAGAGTTTCAGGGGATGGCAGAATGTTGCTGAAGAACTGGCTGACCTGGTTTTGTTTGTTGACTTGGTTACCACCCAACTGCTGCTTGTGCCAGATATTTGCTCCCATGAACGTTAGTCCATGGGAATCTTATCAGAAGGACTGAAAATTCTAGAAATAACTGCACAGTGTGTCAAAGGCAAATAAGTCATTTTGACAAATAACTTGATAAGTGAACTTCCATCCATTAAATGCTTTCTAACACTATAAAGAGGAACTGGAAAAATAAATAAAGGATGTCCTACCTAGCCATCTTAATTGGTGCAATACAGGAAATTAAAAACAATGCAATCAACCAAAAAACCACCATTGTAATTGCATAAGCAACTGTAGTACACTGGAAATGATGGAAAGAACACTGGATTAGCTGAAGGAAAAATTGTGTTTACTTCTCAATTCTGCCTTTCACTAGCTGCAATTAAAATGTCTGACTTTCAGTGACCTGATTTATAAATTAAGGATGATAACTGCTATCTTAAAGAGCTATTAAAAGATAATATGCTATGTGTGTGTATAATTACATATATCATATATATGTATATAGATAGATAGATATTCATATATATGTGGAAGTACCTAATGGAGTTTCTAAAACATTGAATCCCCAGCAATGAGGTGTTTCTAGAAGACTGAAAATATTGGTAATCTTAAGAAAAATCTTATGTAACCATTTGCTTTCCTAATCAGAGAAAATTTTCTATAAAGTATAGATTTTAGGAGGCAGTAAGCAATTGATTTAGTTAAGAAGAATGTTAAGAGCAAAGAAAGTCACAGAATCAGGAATACGCAGGTTGAATACCACGGGTAGAAGGCAGAGGTAATTGAAATGGAAGGGTCCTGAAGGGGAGGAGCCCAGAACAGCTGTGAATAGATTTAGAGACCTGGATGTCAGCAGGCTGAAATGAAATACAGGGTGAGAGAGAGCTGAAGATGGTTCTTATGAATTAAATTAAATTAATTTTGAAAAAAATACTTTAAACTATAAAGTGTTCTATTGATGCATCAGATAAGTCAGTGAAGAGTGGATGAGAGCAAGAAGATAGAGGGGGCTAGAACACCAGGGCATGCCTGAGCCAGGCAGACAAGTGTGATACAGGCCTGGAACATGGCAATGGAGGGCAAAGAAATGAATTCAAGAAGCAGCAAGACTTACAGACAGATCTGGCCTGCTGCAGAAAGGCTTCTTTGATTGGCCAGGCATACTTGCCTTTAAGTATAAGCCATTTGGCTCTGTATCCCAAACTTTACTGATGCTGCTAGTTGCTGTGCCCCTTTAAATGCACCCAATTTTTTAATAAACACCACACAGAGTATAATTCCAAAAGCAAATTAACCAGCAGCTGCTGGATGCAGTGATTTGATCAGTCTCGGCCCATCCAAGCAGCACAGATCCATGCCAGCAACATGGTTGCCAGGTCCTGTTTTGATCACTCACAGAACTCCCTCCTTTGCCAAAGAAGCATGCTCTGAAGTATTCCCAGCATTATTTGAATTTAAAACCTTTCCATGCCACCAGGCAGAAAATGTCCAGTGATTTCTCTATGGAACTTTCAAACCTGAAAGAAAAACAAATCATTAATACTGCATCTAAAACCAAACCAGACCAAACCCAAATGGGATCCTTTTTTCCTCTCCTGGAAATGAGAAAGTTGATCAGCCTTCTCCCTTAAGAACTGCACCTAAAATTCCAGTTGCTCCTCATCAGAATACATCAAGGTCATGCTAACTGAGAATTGAGCAACTGTGAAGCCAAATGTTTTCTGCTTATCATGAGACCTGATGATAGAGACACAGGAGTGCAAAACCAGTCCTTTCATTCCAGAATATTCATTGAGAAGAAGGAAAAGTTACTTCTATGACAAAATAATGATTATTTTTGGGGGGTGGTGGTGGTGGTTACTGGGGATTTTACTCAGGGGCACTCGACCACTGAGCCACATCCCCCGCCCTAGTTTTTGTATTTTATTTAGAGACAGGGTCTCACTGAATTGCTTAGTGCCTCGCTTTTACTGAAGCTGGCTTTGAACTTGCAATCCTCCTGTCTCAGCCTCCCAAGCCACTGGGATTTTAGGCATGGGCCACCACACCCAGCCAAGTGTTACTTTTATTCTTGAAAACTCAAGGAAAACTCCTATGACCTTGGGATGGTGAAACATAATTGGTGATTTTTCTTTCCACCTTACCTTGCCCTTTCCAACACACATTCCCTAAACTGATGCGTTCCCCTTGGGAGTGAGATGATGCTTCAAATTTTCACTGAAACCTATATTTACGGTTTGGCTAGTCCACAATGAAACCCGAAGAGTACTACAGGTGATGGATTGCAGTCTCTTCATCATACAATATTTTCCAAAGATTCTAAAGCAATTAAAACAAGCATTAGGGTTACTGCAGGTTGATATAAATAAAAATCTGACTTTAAGAGTTTGCAAAAAGAATCAGAAGTAAGGACATTTTTTTTTTTTAAATCAGAGAAGTGGTCATCTTCCTTGGGTCTATGAATAGTGAGATGAGCTGTAATAGATCCCCTTGGGCTAAGCCAACATGGAAGAATATAGAAGACCCCCAAGTGACTTATTTCCAATATGGAATTTTCCTCAATTTGATGGATGTTTGATTAAATATAGCATGATTTCTTTGTCCTTCTGTGTATGATTCTAATTCTTATAAGGAAAGAAGATTTGTGACACCTTTGTGACTAAAACTCTTTAGAACAAATACATTAGGTCTATTTTTTCCTAAAACCCTCACTTAATGTCAAGACAGTGCTTATTACAAATCTATATGATGATTCTGTAAATGACAAATCAATTCTAAGGGCAATTAATACTATAATTATTATTACCACACTTTTTGTAATACATGTTACAAAGGTTATAATTTCATAGTATTTCTAGCCACTTATTTAGATACATAGTTAAAATTCTATGTAAGAGAGTTATAAGGGATGCTAGATTTTGAAGTAGAAGTCCCACAGGTGTTAATAAGGAGAGAGGGAAAGGAAAATAAATAAGTCCTAATCCATCCTTCCACACAGGTATATGACCTACAAAAGGTAGAAGTGCACAGAAGAGAATCTAAGAATTTAGAGAAACGTCCTCTGAGCCTATGAAGTAGAGCCAAAGGCTTTAATATTATACTCCTTGGCTTCCAGGCATCTTCCCAATAGGGTTTTCCCTCATTTTACAACCTGCTTAAGCCAAAAGGTGAGATAGAAAGTTTTCTATTTTTTAAGTTAATTTTCCTTCTTATCTTGCCAACTAACTGTGATTTTAGAGAATGGGAATTCATGGTGTCCTTGAAGAAAAGCAAAATTTGAAATTTTATTATAATATAGGATTCCCGCTTGTCCTATATCTAATG